TGGTATTGGCATAAGAACAGACAGGAGGACCAATGGAACCGAATAGAAGACCTGGATATCAACCCACACATCTTCGAACACCCAATTTTTGACAAAGAAGCAAAAAATATCAAATGAAAAAAAGAAAGCATATTTAACAAGTGGTGCTGGCATAGCTAAATATCAACATGTAGAAGAATGAAAATAGACCCATATCTATCACCATGCACAAAACTCAAGTCCAAATGGATCAAAGACCTCAACATAAACTTATAGAATTGAACCTTATAGAAGAGAAAGTGGGAAACATACTTGAATGCACAGGAGACCACTTCCTAAATATAACCCCAGCAGCACAGACACTGAGAAAAAAATTAATAAATGGGACCTCCTCGAACTGAAAAGCTTCTGTAAAGAAAAGGATATGGTCAGCAAGACAAAACGACAGCCTACAGAATGGGAAAAGATCTTCACTAACCCCACATCAGACAGAAGTATGATCTCCAAAATATACAAAGAACTCAAGAAATTGGTCACCAAAAGAACACATAATCCAATAAAAAAAATAGAGTACAGACCTAAACAGAGAATTCTCAACAGAGGAAATCTAAAATGGCTGAAAGACACTTAAGGAAATATTCAACATTCTTATCTATCAGAGAAATGCAAATCAAAACAACTTTGAGATTCCATCTTACACCTGTAAGAATGACCAAGATAAAAAACACTGTTGACAACTTAGGCAGGAGAGGTTGTGGGGAAAACACTTCTGCTTTGCTGGTGGGAATGTAAGCTGGTATAGACCCTTTGGATGTCAGTGTAGCGATTTCTCAGAAAATTAGGAAACAACCGTCCTCAAGACCCAGTAATACCATTTTTGGGTATATATCCAAAGGATACTCAATCGTGTCACAAGGACATGTGCTCAACTATATTCATAGCAGCTTTGTTTGTCATAGCCAGAATATGGAAAAAACTTAAATGTGCCTCGATCGAAGAATGGGTAAGAAAAATGTGGTACATTTACACAATGGAGTACTACTACACAGCAGAAAAAAATAGTGACACCTTGAATTTTGCAGGAAAATAGATGGAACTAGAAAACATTATTTTGAGTGAGGTAACTCAGACACAGAAAGACATTTATCACATGTACTCACGCATAGGTGGTTTTTAAACATAAAGCAAAGAAAACCAGCCTACAAACGACAATTCCAGAGAACTTAGACAACTAAGAGAGACTTACATAGATCTAATCTACATGGGAAGTAGAAAAAGACAAGATCTCATGAGTAAATTGGGAGCATGGGGACCTTGGGAGAGCGATGAAGAGGAGGGGAGAGACAGGGAGGAGAGCAGAGAAAAATGTAGAGCTCAATACAAATCAACAACAACAAAAAAATCCTATTTGAAATGTGCCGAAGACAGTCCTTTTGTTGAACTTGTATCACCCGAGAAGAAAGCCGATTGGTGTGGACAACAACAATCATGTCTCTAGAGACCAAACAGTGGCTGGCCTGGAGGACCCAACAAACATTTAAGGAATGATAAGCAAATCAATACAAATCCTGCACTATCCAAAATTTTCTTTCTCTTTCAGGCTTTTGGGGGAGAGGGGTGTGTCCAGGAGGTTTGTCCCTCCTGGAGTATTTGAGTATAGACTGAGGTTTTGTTTTGTTTATTTTGCTTTATGACATGGAAAAAATTATTAATGGCAGGGCCATAGTTTCAATCTCCCATAGTAAAAGAATGAAAACAGCCCCGATTAAAGGCAGAGTCTCTTTATATCAAGCAAGCAAGAGATTAAGAGTGGAATTTTGCAGTTATTTTTATGATCATGGGAAAGGTACATGTTTATGGTCAGAGAGTTAACAAACCACCAAACATCTTATGGTCAGTCAACTCTCTGAACAATGAAAAGTATAATTCACACTGTTGTTGAGGAAAAACCACTGAAAAAAGTTAACCTCTAGCTAAGCAAATGACCAAGATCTAACATTGTTTAATTAAAAAGAAAGTGAGGTCTGCTATCTTTAATAATCCAAAGGCAACAGGAAGTGAACGATCTCAATGGGTATGACTTGCACACATGAGCCCTCAAGAGCCCCTTCTTCCAATGAGGCCACATCTCCTAACACTCACACTCACTTTGGGGACCACTTTCTTCCAAACCACCAAATTCCACTCCCTGGACCCCAAGGGCTTGTAGCTATAACCATACTGCAAAAATGTACTCAGTCCAAACTCAAAAGATGCCCCCCCCCCCTGCAGTCTATCAGTCTTAACACTGTTAAAAGTCCATAGTTCAGAGTCTCTTTTGAGAGTCATGCAATCTCTAGGGGTAATCAATCAAAAATCGAACCAGAGATCCAACATATAATAAACATGGGGAAGGGAGCATAGTGAGGAAATACTGGACCCATGCAAGACTAAAAACCTGCTGGGCAAACTCCAAACTGTGCATCTCCATTAGACCGAGATTTTTATCACTGTGGTTTGACCTGACTTTAATTCTTTCATGATCAATGAGCTGACTCAGGCTCTCAGGTAACTCTACCAACTGCTTGGGGGCTCTGGCACCCCTGGACAAACCTGATTCATAGCCACCCTAATGAACCCTCTGGGTCACCTACTGTGTGGGCTTTTTCCTCTTCCCTACTTCAAATAGTGACATCTGCAATATTATTCAAAAACTGACTCCTCCAAAAATTTAATTTTTCCTATTGACCATAGATTCGCACTTGACTAACAAGCCTTACCTGTGAATACAAGGGTAGCATACTGGGCCTATTTTAGGTCATACAGGAAGTGGTGGGAGAAGTTCCTACATTTCTTTATTGTGTGTGTGTCTGTACATGGGTGGCGGAAGAAAGGGACAGTGCCTGGACTGTAGCATTTCAATATAAATATTTTGCTCAACAACAACAAAAATCTATTATAACTGGCTTTCCTATTCTGCCATTTTGTTTCCAACAGAAGTCAAATTTAATATTTATCAGCTGAACCGATTCCTTGGAAAAGTGATTTCTAAGATGAAAACAAACAATGGATGAACAAACACGGTTATATTTCTCGGCTGTAAAAAATCAAAACTCTGACTCATCAAATTAAATTACTCATTAAGATTCTGGCTAAGTAACTGTACTCTGTACTCAGGTACCGATGGTGCCAGACAGAAACAAGGTAATGTTGCAAAAGGGTAATTCAGGCCCATGGCCCTCTGGGCAGCAGCTGTAGCTAGGATCACTGATTTATAAAAATTTCTTTAAAGTTTCTACACTTATTGTGTGTGTGCGCACATATGGGTGTATGTGGGCCCAGCCATGTGTGCGAAGGTTATCACACATCATACAGGAGTCTGCTTTCTCCTCCCACCATATGGGTTCTGGGAAATCACACTCCGGTCATCAGGCTGGGCAGCAGGATCTTATTGCTTCACCCTGCCTAGGATCACTATCAATGCCTTAGGCCTACACAAGATGAGTATTGTTCTTTCCTTTGTCCCCAGCTAGAGTGTCTGGGGTGGATGTTTTCCCTGTTCTTAAAAGCGAACATCTTGTTCTTCTGCTGATTTCTGAAGGAGCTCTCTGCAGACCTCAGCTAAGGCTGCGGTGAGGCAGCGTTCTTGGCGAGGACTCGATCACAGGGTAACTTGCTAAGTGAATCACACTGGATGCTCCCAAACCTTCAGAACTACTTTTCCATCTCTGTTTGGATGACGTGAGGCCATGGAGGGAGTGATGCCCACGGAGGGTGTGGGGACAGATGTCCCCAGGCCTACCATCCAGGGTCTGGTCTGTAGGATTTGTTGACTCCTCCACTCTTCAAAGCCTTCTGCATGGCAAAATCCCCATTAGTGAAGCTCCACTTGCGACTACTAACTATGAGACTTTGGGGTAGCGCTGGGACACTGATGTTTCAGAAGCTCCCCAGGAGTCTCTGATTGGAACTGCAGAGCTGGTGAGGGACTCCAACATGATTAGAGACTGGGGGCTTCTGGGAAGAGACCCTCCATGACGCCCACTTTTGTGCTTCATTATTGCTACCAGGGTGAGGAGCATTAGACCCAGTCATGTGACCTGTAAGTACCGCAGGAGTCTAACTTTAAAGGCCCTGGTACTTTCCTGTCAAGGAGATCCTTTTAGGATTCTCTCCCCAGCCTGTTCGCAAATTCACCTCTTTCCTGTTAGGAGGTTTTGAGGCATCAGGTCACGTGCAAAGAAATGAACACCATGAAAGGAACCTCAGTCCTTAGTCCCCTATAGTGGTCTAGTATTTGTGTTTTAATAAATAAAGCTTGCCTGAAGATCAGAGGGCAAAGCAGCCACACTAGTCAGCCATACAGGCCAGGCAGTGGTGGCACACACCTTTAATCCCAGGACAAGTGGCAGATGGATCTTTGTGAGTTCAAGGTTACTTTGGGCTACCCAAGATCAATCCAGAAACAGTGGTGGTTTACACCTTTAATCCCCGTGTTTGGGAGTCACACATCTTTAATGCCAGCACTAGGGAGGTGGAGACAGGAGCGATATGGCTGGGCAGAGAAAGGAATGAATATAAAGGGGAAGAGACAAGAACTTAGTGAAGTGTGGCGTCTGAGGATTCGTGGAGACAGGATCTCCCCTTTCAGTGTGAAGATTTGGAAGAGGTGAAAAGTGTCTCTAGTGATTGCTGCTTTGCTTGATCTTCAGCTTGAACCCCAATATCTGTCTCTGAGTTTTTTATTATTCATGCCATTGTCCCCTTAACCCTGAGTCACCCAAAGAAACCCTCCCTGAGGTGCACACACTGCAGCCAATGTCCAGGAAAGTCCCCTCTCCTAAAACAGGAAGCCATGGTGTCAGGTACAGGCCAAGTGTTTACACACACACTGAACAGGCACCAGAGATGTCTAGTCAAGCGTTTTGAGTCATTAACTCACGAGTCAACAATTTCAAGCAAAATAACCAAATCTGGGGCACTTATCTATATCCTTAGGATTGCATACTTGTTCCCCAAATCTGAAGACAACAACTCATGAATCTGTTCATACTGGGATTATAGTGTTTATTAGCCTTTATGTACCAGAGTCACTGTGGATTAGATTCTTCAGGGAAGACTGTGAGAGCAGGGACCGTCCCTAAGTGCTGACCAGCAAGATTTGTTACTTGCTCTTGACCTCATATCAGCTGCTTCAGCTCATTTGGTTTATCTGCCTCAGGGAAAACAAAGAAAGGACAATTAAAATACTGCTTAAACTTTACCACATTGCAGTGCTGAATCGCAAAGGCACTCTGTGTTCTTAAAATAGCCCAGCATTTAAAGACTTTCTGACATGGTCGCTAATGGAGAAATTTATGTGTGGAATGTCTCAAGTTCAATGGCATTTGACCCATCACTCTGTAGTAGTTGCCATGACAGCAGGTCTAAGACTTATGGTGAGAACTTACTCAGCTCTGTAAGCTCATAGCACCACTAACGCACAGCGAAGTACTGATCACATAAATACTTCTCTAACTACGCATCCATCCATCCTACCACGTACAAGTTTCTACTAGGCACCAAGGACACAATGGAAAACCTGCGTACATTTCTGAGTGTTCCTAAGCAGGGGGAAGCAGTCTATAGGGCTGGGGTAATATTTATGCTTTGCTATTTACTAATGCTATTACTCCATTTTATCAACTATAACTGAAAACAGGGGTACACACTTCTGAGGGCATTGTGACCTGACAAAGTACTCCAATCCCCTGGGCTCTTCTCTGTCCCCTTTGCCAGCTGGACCAATTCTTCTCATCTTTTCCCTGTCTTCTGTGGTCCTTTCTGGTGTGGTTTCCTGTTGCAATAGCTAACGGCTGTGTAGCTGACACTGCCTCCTAAGTTTTTTACCTCTTCATCACCTCTTCCAGCTGTCTCCTATAAGACAGTCCTAAGATTTCATTTTCATTGCTTCTCCATTTCTAAACTAGAAGTTGTTTGTGACCCAAGAAGTGGAGTCTAGTCTCCTTGGTGTGAAGTCAAGGCCACTCACAGACTGTTAAGCTGTTTCCTCCCATTTACCAATTTTTAAATCTTTTTTTTTTTTTTTTATCTTTTAGGTTTTTGAGATAAGAGTTTCTTTGTGTAGCCCTGGCTGTCCTGGAACCTGCTCTGTAGATCAGGCTAGCCTCAAACTCACAGAAAACCCCCTGCCTCTGCCTTCCAAGTGCCACCACTGCCTAGCTTATCAATGGGGTTCTACTCACATACTAATGTTCGTATGTACCTGTACGGTTCCCCAGGGTAGTCTCAAATAAACTGCTAGTGTGTTCTTTCCCAGCCTTTGCTTTCATCTTCCAAACACCCCTAGTAGTTCAAGGCCTCAGTCACTCAAACCCTAAGGGGAGCTTCCATTACCTCATGGAAGTATTGTTTGGGATTCTCTTTGTTGCGTTTGCTCTTCTGGAAAAAAGCCCCAGCTTGTATGACTGAGATCATTCAAGGTTATCGCAAATATCATGTTCTCCAGAAGCTAACAGATTCCTCCACAAGAATGAATTCATCTCTATCTTATGCTACCCAACATTCTGACCTTTGGTGACACCACTGCCTAGGTCTCCCAAGGGTCCTATTCTGTGTGCTGGAACGCAGTCTCCCTTTGGAGGTAGAGGCTCATCCCCACCATGCTGTTGGAGCAGATGCAATCGTGGCGCTGTCCTGTGGTCAGGTCTTGGGACAGCAGCAGGTGTGTCTGTCTGTCTTGCATTTCTGTCCATTATGAGGCGAACACAATGAATTGACTAGCTTGCTGATCTGAGGCACATGCCAGCCAGTCATGTGACAGAAACCTGGACCCAGCTACAGTGTGGGCCAGCCCTGCCAGGTCCAGCAGCTGACCTACGGCTAGCCTGCATGAGAACAAGGGGTCACATCGGCTTTGTGTTAATCTGTTAAGTTTGGGGTGGTCTGACATCTTGCACTACTGTGCCATCAGAACAAACAGAACCTCACAAAATTTTGTGCTGTAGTTTCCCTTTTATGTGACTGATCTGCTTCCCCCAACTGTAAACTTCTGGTGGGCTGAGACACGCTGTCTTTATCTTTGTTCTGTAGTGACTTAATTTGCTTCTTGCATAGAATGAGCACACTATATATTTTTGCTGGTTGCAACTGGGTACTAATTTACTGAGGTTTAAAATCCCCGGTGGAAGTCATTAGTCAGGGATGGCACGATTATCCAAATCTCCCTCCTGCGCTTCTCGTGAGGGCATCAAAACAATCTGACATGCTTCCTGACACGCTTCCAGGAAACAGACCGAAGTAACAATAGCGACAGAGTAGTGCCCAAATAGCTGTTAGTGACTACGCTGTGATAATGGCAGGTTACTCTTTTCAAATGTGACACAGGTCAATTATCAAAAAGAGCTAGGACAAAGCCTTAACATTCTCTTCCGGTAACTAGCAGATTTGGAGCCTGTCATGCGCGCTCAGAAGGGAGTCGTGTTCCTACCGATCTTTCTGAAGAGTATTTTCTTCCTTGTCACCAAGGATTCAGCTAATTCATGGATGTTTAACAGGGTTTATCACTGGGTTCTCGGGAAATGTGCTGGGAGGGCACAGGTCTCAGCGGCAGCCACAGGAGGAGGCTACTAAGCAATGAGAGATGAGCACACTTCAGACAGACACGAATTTGCTCTCCATCCCTGCCCTGCTTTCACGGTACCAATTGTGTAACCTCAGGGCATCATTAGCTTCTCTAAAATGGGAAGAGCCAAGACTGATGGGATGCAGTGCTTGGCTTGATTGTTTACACGTCTCATTCCGTTTTCATAGGGACATTATGAGAAAAGCAAAGAACTGTAAGATGTTAATTCGTCCAAGGTAACAGAATGAGTAACTGGTAAAGCCAGGGTTTAAATTCAAGGTCAGATCCATACATTTCCCTGGGCACCACTGCCTCCTCGAATACCAACTGGAACCACGTTCCCTGTACTGTGCTTCGCTTCCTCTCTGGAGGCCAGCTCTCATCTCTTCCGTCTTCTACTGTTCTCCAAGCTCCACACCAGGTCACGGCTAACACGAGAACGACTAGACATGGACGACTCCCACCCGCCATTAAGCTGAGAGCAGGAAGAGCTCTGGATTTCCCCAGGCCTCACATCCTCCCATAGAAAGAAAAGATAAAATGCTACCTGCAAGATACGCTAGGTCAGCGGAGGCACAAAGCTTGTGGAAGTAACCAACCAAATATCATTTGAGCTAAGGCCTACTCCCACAAGATGGAACCCACACCCAACACTGCTTGGGGGATCAAGAACCAGAGACTAGATGGCCCAGGGACCTAGGGTAAAACAAAATTCCACTGGTGTAAATAATAATAATGTTCACAATATATAAAATAGCCTACCATGCTTTTGTAACCAAACCAACCAAGCAAATTCTGGAGAATAAACAATACCCTATATATCCTTTCTGTCTTAAAGTCTCTAAAACTACTGTTATTAAAACTCCATTGTCCAGCAGACCACGCTACACATCTGCTTGGCCAGTTTAGTCAGCTCATTAGCAAAGTTTTTTAAAGAGGTAAATCATCAGAATATTAATAGGGTTTCCCTATTTTTCGTAGGCACATGTGTCCGCTAGTGCCAGTATATTCACGCATTTGTGTGTAGGGTATCCCTCTGCTTTTGTTTTTGTTTATTTATTTATTTTTGAGATGGTCTTTACACTGGGACCCGTGGCCTACTGATTCTGCTCTTCTAACTGCTAAGCAAGCACCAGAGATCTGCTTGTCTCTACTCCCCTAGTGCAGAGACTGTACGTGCCTGCCGACAGGCCGAGCTTTTGATGTGGGTTCTGGGGAATCAAACCCAGGTCCTCGTATTGCACATCAAGCACTCCATACTGGGATTTTTCTCAGTTTTCTTTCCCACAACTCAAAGTTATTTCTCAAAGTATATTTCTCTAGTATTTTCAGTGAGCCTTTACGAAATCCTGTGAAGTGGGAAGGAGGTGGTCAGATGGGGGCTGCAGACGAGATATTCAGTCCCAAACAACGAGGAGTTCTGCTTACGAACATACCCTGACACAGAATGACAAGGCTGCTGTAATGACTCACTCTTCTTTCTCCAAGCTGGAGCTCAGTTTAAAGACATCCTACCGCATTTCTTTATTTTCCCCACGACTGAATCTGCAAGATGACACCATCCAGGCCCTCCATGACGGAGGAGGGTTAACTGTCTATGTGTTACTTTCATTGGTTAATAAAGAAGCTGCCTCGGCCTTTGATAGGACACCAGCTTAGATAGGCGAAGTAGACAGAACAGAATGCTGGGAGGAAGAAGGCAGTGAGGCAGACACTTTAGCTCTCCTCTCCAAGATGGACGCAGGTTAAGATCCTTCCTGGTAAGCCACCACCTCGTGGTGCTACACACATTAATAGAAATGGGTTAATCAAGATGTGAGAGTTAGCCAATAAGAGGCTGGAACTAATGGGCCAAGCAGTGTTTAAAAGAACACAGCTTCTGTGTAATTATTTCGGATAAAGCTAGCCGGGAGCCAGGTGGTGGGACACAGCCCGCTGCTCCTTTTACACCTCCATGCTTTCAACTTTATTCTCCACCCCTGCCGCTTCATTACTTGTTGGGGCATGGACTTTGAATGCTCTCTGGTGATGGGTCCACCTCTGTTGTCCAGATCTTTTGAAAACCTTCATTCAACAGTTTTATAGAAGCCAGAGAACAGCCACTGGGGCACATAGGCTCCTTCCTCATCTTTACACTGTACATGCAGCCAATCCAAAGCTCTATTGATTTTGCCTCAGAAATAACCTAGTCTTTATTGCATTCTGAGTTTTCATCATCTCTGATGGATACTTCCTCTTGAGGCCATAAGCTCTTTATTGGAGAAGTCCCCCCCTCCACAGACATCTTCTGTACATACTACAGGATCATGTGTGCAGCCACCTCAGCAGCCAAGGGAAATCAAGCCATCCCAGGTCCGAAACCTTTCCTTTGTCCCCAGTGTTTACCACTGACATCCACATTTCTAAGCACAGTTGGGAGCATATTCCCTTCCTGCCATCTTTCCTCAGGTGCAGGTGCTAGATCCTGAAGCTCTGGGATAAGATGCAGTATTTGTGTTACATGATGGTAGTGCAACACGATGTTCCATCCTGTATCTGGGGCAAACTCATAATCACCATTTATGTGAAATTCATATCTGACTCGGCCGGGTGTGTGTGTGTGTGTGTGTGTGTGTGTGTGTGTGTGTGTGTGTGTGTGTG